CCCTTTTCTTGTTGCTTCCGTTGATGAATAGATGCACTTTCCAGATTTTAGCGGTAGTGGATTGTTTTCGATTTACTTCACAAAAATGTTCTCTAAACATTTGATAATCACGAAAAGAGTGTCATTAAAATGGTCCATAGGCAATAATTTGTAATAATGAATTACGCCTCGTCTATAACTTCATTTAAAAGTAGAGATTTACAATCACTGTCGGACTCAGAGTAAGGCTACACACCATACAGGTAGGCTATTAGGGTGATCTCAACATAAATTGAAAGCTTACTTATTCTATCGTGCTTAATCTTTGCGTGGTGATAGGACAAAACCGTTCATCAAATTTCTTTTTTCATTGAAGGGAAGAAAGGGCCTTTGTTTACGTTCAAAACTCTTAAACAATAACTTGTTGCTCCTGTTATCTTTAAAAGGGATTGATTAATACTATAAATCGTTCAGTTTATTTTTTATTTCAATTTTTTTTGGGGGCTATTTGTTTCCACCACTATGTATGGTCGTGCAGGATAGGATAAACATTCTCTGTTGAATGATTGCTAATTGTACCAATCTTTTCTGGGTTAGGATATTTTTTAGCTGCGAATTAGTTTGAATATCCAATAAGCATGCATTTGATTCATATCAAATTAGATTGCAACTGTTTTTTTCTAGATTTTAGAAATGAACAAAAATGAGTTTAACAGAGAACCATACAAGGTATCATATGTTTTAGTCAACAACTTATTGCACTGCAGCTTCTTTTTGTAAAATAAATACCTCTGCTAGATCATTAGCATTTCAGCTCTTCTGTCTACAGTAGTCCTTTTGAATTGTTTTATTTAAAAAATCAACGGAATGTCATAGGTTAGCATTCCTTCAAACAATTTCGAAAGAAAAAAAATATATAATGGACCAGCAAACGATACAATAGAGATAGAAAGGACAGAAAGAATCAAAACGACAGAACGAAGTAGTGTGTGGGAGGAACAGGTAAAGCACATGTAGATGGATGTGACAATAACAAATACTTTATTTGATAATATACAACCAATGAAAATTTTTTTTTTTTATTAAAATTAAGATTTCTGCGTGATTGTTTGACTTTCGCTTTTTTTTCTTCGAGAACAAAAGAACCACTTAACACAATGTACAAGCAAAACTCATGCTGTAAAGGAGATTAAGCAATTTCTTTGTTTTTCCCTTTTAAATAAAATAAATAAATAAGACTTGTTGTTTTCATAATTTTGTTTCACTTATATGCAAAACAACATCATTGTACCGAAACAGTTTAATCACTTTCAAATGAATCTATATCAACACCGATGCTTTTAAACAATTCGGGAACCTGTTTTTAGGCAATTGGGAACCTGTTTTGTAATACATTTTTCATATCTTTCATGGTTATTGAGAACCAAATGCATTAATAATTTATGTTTTCTCTCGTTTATTCAGGGGTTTTCTTTTCTTGTAGCTTCAAGATTTGCAAGAGCATCATGAATATTATCTGCACCTCTGGTTGTAGCATTAACTGTGGATATTTCTGTATCGTTCTTTGTAGCATCGTCTGCATTTAAAAGGCCAATTATCCATTTTTTTAAGTGCAGGGTCCTCAACTGCTGTGGCTTCTGATGCTAGTCAACAGAGAGAGATCGGACAAGCCATACATCAGACAGCAGATAACCAGAAAGCCGGAACACTTGTAGAGAAAGAGTAGGAGGCTCAACAGACTCATGACAGAATACCAAGTCTCCGTTAAATATGTTATTTGTGAATTGAAATGCTATAAAGTCATATGAACTCTTTAAAGGCATCCTCGTCATAAACTTAAAGCCATAAATGAAGTCTGTGGTAGTTTTGTCAATCGCCGAAAACAACTTTTAAATAAAAACTATAATGTTTACAAGACTTTTTTTATTATCCTGTCATTTAACCTGTCTTATCTTGATTCGTGTTTGGACTCGGGTCGGAGTCATACACTTATTGTAAATCTCTAATAGAAAGAGTTAAAAAAAAAAACGATATCACATATACACCACAAGTTTATCTGTAACTATATATAATATATATTTAATAAGTAACATCCCCGTGTTTGTTACCAAGAATTAAATGAATTCTCAGTGACACAAGGTTGGCTTTAAAATTCATGTTTAGTTAAAATAGATTTAGAGAGTTGTCTCATTGGCACTCATAACACATCTTCTTATATCTATTACATAGAAATTAAAGGTTTTTTTTCCCTACTTGATCAAACTAATGTTGTTAAGATGATGGACTTAAAATTAATAGCTACATATTAATACATATATAAAAGCATTGTCAACTTGATGTATTTAAGATGTATATGCGCTTTATTAAAGATGTTTAAATGCAGCTATTTTAGTTAACATTGTTTCACTTATCATGAACTATTCGTGTCTATATTCATATGTTCTCGTTTCAAAAAGTAAAATCACAAAAATACTGAACTCCGAGGAAAATTCTAAAAGGAAAGTTCCTACTCAAATGGCAAAATCAAAAGCTCAAACACATCAAACGAATTGATAACAACTGTCATATTCCTGACTTGGTACAGGCATTTTTTATCTAGAAAATGATGGATTGAACCTGGTTTTATAGCTAGCTTAACCTCTCACTTATATGAAGGTCGCATCAAATTCCATTATATTGACAACGATGCGTGAACAAAACCAACAGACACAATAGGAAAAAATGTCAAAAATAGGGGTACAGCAGTCAACATTGTGTTATCATCTTAATCACTATAAAAACAAACAAATGTAACAAAGAAGCACAAAAAGGCATACATCAAATTTAACATCCTCATTTTGCTTTTTTATTATACGATTTTATTTATCTATGTAAAATCAACCCATAATGGATGGAAGGTTTTAAGTACTTGCGTAAAATCGCGCGTTTGACGTCACACAGGTAGATATAAAATAATTTTGTCGTTCAAACTATGACGGGTACATAAGTACAGAGTCACGTCAAATGGATATCACAACAAACAGACTTAACAGTAAAAGTAATATTTATAAAATAAAATAATTTTGTCGTTCAAAGTATGACAGGATTCATAGTTACAGAGTCACGTCAAATGGATATCACAAAAAACAGACTTAACAGTAAAGTAATATTAATAAAGACAAATAAAAGAATACTATAACACGTTATTAAGATGATAAACAACGTCAGTACGTTGTTCAAATCCTTGTAACTAGTAGATGATATTCGATTTGGTCGAGCAAAGACATGATAACATTTGCTGCATTCGACCGAAAACACGATTAGATTAGTCTCTCAAGACGACAGTCTTAGAAAGTTTAAAATTTATTTCCTTCGAGCAAAGACCTAGTTATATTACTTTTTTGCTCGTTCGACCAATGTACTAGTCTCGATCGATCAAAGATATAATAAATATAGATATGTGGCTTTCGAATAAACGTAGAGTCGGTTAGATTTGTCTTCTTCGACCGAACTAGTATGGTGAGACTTGTGTAGTTCGACCAAACACTTAGTAAGGTTGGATTTGGCTATCTCGACATAATACCTAGTAACGTTAGATATGTATTATCTCTAGCATTTTGGCATCTAGTATAACTTTGATTGTCTCGTTCGACCGAAGTCCAAGGTAGGCTAAATTTGTCTCGTTCGATCGTGTTTTTAGTTGCTTTTGATTTATCTTACCGACCATCCATATAGTAAACATACATTAGTCTCATTCGACCGAACACTTAATAGGAATAGTGATTTGTCTCGTCGAACATATACCTATCTTGGTTACTTTGTCTAATAGACCGAACGTAAAGTCATAGTAAGATACGATTTGGCTCGTCGATGGCACACCTAGTAAGGTTAGATATATCTCTTTCCGCTGAAATATGAAATAAGAAAGTTAAACTTATCTTGCTACATCGAAGATTTGTTTTGGTTAAGTTTGTCTAGTTTGACCACAAATCTAGTAATATTATTTTTGTCTAGTTCGTTCAGATGTAAAAGAAACATAGTTACGTTACACATGTCTAGTTTGTTCATTTGCACATTTTTCGTTGAATAGTCGTATAGCCAGATCTAGCGGACAATTGCCGGATGTAATATATATATATAGTCTAGGTGGCCGAGTGGTCTAGAGCGATGCACACAGGGCAGGCGGTGTTGTCTCGATATCACAATAGCATGAGTTCGAATCCCGGCGAGGGAAGAACAAAAATTTGCTTCCGCAAATTTGCAGATTTAACATTGTTGTACTGATGTTTAGAGTAGTTATGTATATAGTTGGTTTGGTACCGTTTGCATTCTTATTTCATTTATAACGTTCAATCGATAATTGTTTTGTTTGGTTTTGGATTTAAAGGCATTTTAGCCACGAATATACTGAAGAGAAAATCTGAGAAATCAATTGTCGAAATGCATATCTCATGCATCTTGAGCAGTATCTTTTTACTGTTAATATTATTTCTAACACAGGGTTTATGACTCTGCTAGATGTCTTTTTTCCTCATACATGTAGCATCACCAGTTTAGAAGCTTGGTACTTCGGTACCGCAATTGTTTAATTGAAATTTGTTGTTTATGAACTTAAGAAATCATTGTGTGTTAAGGAATGTATCTTTCTCATGCAAACTGATTCCATGTCCGGATTTAGCTTTACTGTTGGTACTTTTCTGTTGTATCGGCTCTTCCACGTTAGTATAAGGTGTCGAAATGTCAAAATTTATCGTTGCAGAATCACAAAAAATACATTAGTTCTCGGTATTCACTACATAAATAATAAAATTATTATGACTTCTATTTATGGCCTTGTCATGTTATATAATTTCAGTCGGTTGATTTTATTAATTAGAATGAAATTATTTTCTTGTGAAATGTCTGCCCATAGATTGCGTTTTAGATTAAGTGTTTTGTGTGATTTGGCGGTTCAATCATTCGGCACGACAGGGTCTACTCGTAAGGTCTCGTTAATTTACCTAGCTGTGTGTTTGTCGATTAAAGTACGTTTGAATATAATCATGGATAATGAAGGTGAACCAGATATCTCATTGAGAACTGTTGTAACTGCTGTAAATCAACAAAGTAAAGATATTGAGGCAATTATTGATGCTAAAGTGACGGAGAAAATTGGTGGACTTAGAGAAGAATTACAGGGTGCTAACCATTTTATAAAGTCCCAGGCGAAGAAGCTTTAAACAGACGCTACATATAAATGGAAATATGAAGGTAAGAAGATTCAGTTTAACTTTAACACTGAAAATCTCGAGGATCTTGTTCAGACTTTGTGGGCCATAGACAATGGGAAAGTAGGTTATGCACGAGATTTGTTATCCTCTACTATAGACAAGATGAAGCTTCGCAACAAACTTATTAAGATAGCTGACACCTCTGAGGGAGGTTGGGATACCGCTAGGCAATATGACGCCAATCCTATTGCAAGTGATTTCCAGGATGAAGCTAAAAATATTTGAGCTGATAATAGAGCTGTCCGTAAGAAGAAAGTGAAGGCTAAGCAGGATATAGGAACTGGTTTCAAATATAAGGTCAGCAATCAGTCTCTATTAGGACAGGCTCCAAACTTCGTTCCGCAGCCCTTTCATGGGCCTCAGCAGCCTTGGTTCAACGGAATTCCCCTTCAGCAAGGTTTCAACGCTGGAAAGATGCAGTGGGAACAGTGCTACTCTTGTTGGTCGTACACACACTACCGGTTCAGCTGTCTGTACGTCAACAGTAGTAAACCAGTAACCCAAACCAGGCCACAGTGAATTTTTGAAATATGAGTATTTAAATTATCTTGAACTTTTACCTATAGATAATTATATTGATTATAATTTGACCAATGATTGTTTTGAATATGAACTAGGTCAATCTGATATTATTGTTAAGGGTAGACTTAACATTCGACTTTGGATAGATATTGGTGCACCTAAATTTATTAAAGATACTATAAGAGATGGTTATATTTTACCTTTCTATTCAAATCCAATATCGCTTGGTTTGTCAAATACTTTTATCAGCTTTAACTAATGCAGATTTTGTTAGATCGGCTATTACTGATTAATTAGCTAAAGGTTTAATTGAAGAGACGTCAGATATTCCCTTTGTTTTGAATCCTTTACATGTTTCTGTTCAGCCAAACAACAAAAGACGTTTAATATTAGATTTGAGAGAAATTAACAGACATTTATGGAAGCAGAGTGCAAAACATTACATTAATACCAATTCATATATGTTTAAGTATGACGTACATTCTGTATATCACCATGTCGATATTTCCCCGCCTCATACTAAATATCTAGGATTTGCATGGGACTTTAACGGTGTTAAACAATATTTAAAATTTCTAGTTTTACCGTTTGGTCTCAGTACTGCTTGTTATATTTTTACTAAAATAACTAGACCACTCATTAAAAAATGGAGAGGAGAGGGGAATCAGATTATTATGTACTTAGATGATGGACTTGGTGTACATGACGATGAAAAATTATGTAGTCAAATGGCTATACAGGTTAAAAAAAAATATAATAAGTAGCGGTTTTGTACCCAAGGCTTAAAAGTCTATGTGGAAACCTATTAAAAACCTCCCATTTTTAGGCACTAACATTGATACAGATAAAGGAGTTTTTACTATTCCTGACAATCGTATAGACAAGATTATGAATACCATTTCAGACATTGATTTGTGTTTAGCAAAAAACGGAAAAGTATTTGCAAGGAAAGTAGCTTCCTTGGTAGGACAGATTATATCTACGTCTCCAGTTATAAGCAATATAGTATATTTTATGACAAAACATTTGTCTTTTGACAAAAACAGTGTTCATTCATGGAACAGTTATATACATTTATCTGTCGACAGTATTGATCAAATTAATTTTAGGAGGTTTAATTTACATGAAGCCAATGTTAAACCTTTTAAGTCTGATGTTTCTTGGCAGACTATTGTGTATAGTGATGCAAGCAATACGGGATACGGTGGTTATATTGTGGAAAATATAATATTGCTCACGGTACGTGGTTAGAATTTGAGGTTTCTTCAAGTTCCACATGGAAGGAGTTAACTGCAGTGAAAAGTATATGTTTGTCATTGATAAACTTTTTAGCTAGCAAGAATATAAGATGGTTTACCGACAACCAAAATGCTGTTAGCATTGTTAGTAAAGGGAGCACAAAATCAGTACTGCAAAAGTTAGCTTTAGACATTTTTAGCACATGCATTAAGCACAATGTTAATATTGACATGGTATGGATTCCACGTACTGAGAATCAGAGAGCAGATTATCTTAGTCGGATTGTTGATTCAGATGATTGGGCTATTTCTGAATTTGTATTTCAAATAGTTGAATCACGTTGGGGACCTCATGAGGTTGACTGGTTTGCCTGTGATGACAATTTTAAATTGATAGTTTTTTTTTCCAGATTTTGGAATGTGAACTCATCAGGTGTTGACGCTTTCTCGGTTGACTGGCGAGGGATAAACGGGTTCTTCGTTCTACCTGTTTCTTTGATCCAACGCGTATTAATGTATATGCGGCAGTGTAAAGCTGTTGGTACTTTAATTTTACCTTAATGGCCCTCTGCCAGTTATTGGCCAATGCTTTGTCCTTATGGTGATGGTTTCATTTCTGAGGTGACAAATTTTATAGATCTTTTTACTTACAAAAAATGCTTATATAGCTGGTAAGAGTAAGAAGGCCATATTTGGCAATGTTGATTTGACTTTTCGCATGTTAGCATTACGGATGGATTTTTCATCCAGTTAGATCACTTTGATGTGAGCATGTATTATAGATCTATCTTGATCTCTTGTTATAGATTATTAGCGTTATAAGAATTTGAATCTCAGTGAGATTTTGAATTGAGATTTGATATGAATTTTGCGGATGTTACACTGACAACTAGATGCATAGTACTTAGCTGATTGTTTTAATTTTAGATAGAATTCATTTTTAATGTTTTCTTTCAATTACAAATATATTTTTGCAGGCATTTGCCGGAGAATTTCAGAATCTACCTGTTTCGTTAGTTAGCAAAGTGAATTTACTTCCAGAATTACTTTCGGAATCTTGAGCAGTTTCTACTACAAAAGGATATTATCAGAGTTTTTTTACGATGGAAAAATTGGGCTGCATTAATGGTGATATTTTACCAGCAAAAGCTTCTTACGTTGCTATATACTTAGCTGCCATGACACAGTCGAGCAATACTGTTAGTCCAGTTGTTCAAGCGTTTTACTCTTTAAAGTGGATACATTCTCTTAGTTGCTCATCATGTTCACCGACAGATTCGCCTTTAGTAATTAACGTTCTAGAAGGTGCGAAGCGTAACGTGGCTACTCCTACGAATAAAAAGGAACCTATTTCGGTAGAATTGCTGCATAAAATGTATGATGCTATGTTTTCTTTTGGTAACTTGTATAATCAGCGTTTTATTTGTGCATGTTTCACTGCTTTTTCAGGTTTTTTTAAGAGTTTCTGAGTTGGTTTATATTCGAAGAAGTGATATAATTATTTTAGAATGTTATATGTCAATTTTCATTCAACATAGCAAAACAGACGTATACAGAGATGGCAATTCAGTATTAATTGCTCGTACAAATTTAAATAGGTGTCCAGTAAAAAATATGGAATTATATTTGCAGTGGGTTGATATTTCTGGCGATTCTGATGAGTTTATTTTTCGAAATTTGACCAAATGTAAAGATGTTTATGTTTTACGTAAAGAGAATACACCATTATCATACTCTAGGATGCGCGAGCTCTTTATTGAAGTTTTCAAGCCATTTGTTCATGACATTAAGCGACATGGGTTGCACAGTTTAAGGTCTGGAGGTGCTAGTGCTTGTGCTTATTTAGGTTTACCAGACCGTCTTTTTAAGAGACACGGTAGATGGCGTTCCGAAACGGCCAAAGATGGTTATGTGAAGGATTCTTTAGATGATTTGCTAAAAGTGTCAAAAAATTTAGGTTTATAGTTTTTGTCGCATTAATTTCAAACTTTTATTGCATGATATAGAACAGCTTAAAATTTTCCCGTTCTTTGTGTTTTCGGCCCTCGGCTCTGTCGTGTGGTATTGCACTTTACTCTTTTTTGTTATTTATTATTATGATTCTTATCTGTGGTTGTGATATATGGGTGTTAACGGAAGAAGAAGAAAAAGATAAAACATGCGTCAAGGATAAACACTAGATATTTCAAAGTCCGACATTGTCATCTGAACTCAAATATGTATGTAATCTTAGCTTTAAAATGTTTGGGTCTGAGTATTATTGATGAAGGTAAATCCAGAAAAGAGATCCGGCAGTATCAAATTTATGAAATGTTACTTTTTTAAGATTCTAGTGGTTTAAATACAAATATCCAAGCTCAATTCGCTATTTCAAGAAGCCAAAATCACTTTCGTTATTGATACAAGTTTTAACTATAGACTGGTTGCAATACTTAAATATGAATTTTTTAAATCAAATGCTATTCGACAAACAGATTTTCTCGCTGTGTTGAAGACCCATTGGTGGCATTCGGCTGTTTTCTGCTCTTTGGTTGGGTTGTTGTCTCTTTTACACATTCCCCATTTCCATTCTCAATTTTAGATGTACTTTCCAAAGATGATAAACAGCGTAGTTTTTTAAGTATATCTTTTTTAAAACGGTTGGAAGTTATCGATATAAGCAGTATTTTCATACAAAATTTTCTAAATAAAACAACATCCGATTATTCAAACATCAACCTTTAACTGTCATTTTTATCATATCCATACCGTTACCATTGCTTCCAGGATTTAAAACCATGGGAGGCTAGAAGAGACAGTTATCCTAAAGAATGTAAAATCTAAACCTTCCAATTACTCAGGTTCATTGAAACCATAGAATTCGAAATATAGTCCTGCTCATTTAAAAAATAAAATAACTTTGAAATCATCGCGATTAAAGAATCTCTGCATCGTTCACGAAAGATGATATTTCAGAAGACCACAATTACGTCCCTCCTACATTTTTCGCATTATTAACAGAAACAAAGGACAATGCTAATCTCCTGTCTTTATATAAACCACCAAACATTCACAAACATTCTTAAGGAGAACGATGTATAGCCGGGTTGAATTTTGATGGATACTTGAATTCGTGATTTGGCAAAAGTTTCCACGAAAATTTGTACCCAACAAATGATAATATACCAACAGTACTCAATAAGTGATTTTAATTAGATGTGGTTCTTCAAAAAATTAAAGATCTACTCCATAATCATCTACCACTGTAACAACTTTTGAATTTTTTTCTACTATTTCCCATAGTCAATTCAAACTATACCATCAATTCTGCAAGTTTTTTGTTTTCTATTTGGTATTAGATTAAAATTAAGATCCATTTTGTTACATCTGTGATCCGTTTATTTGGCAATCGCCATGGCAGTCAGCAGGGTTTAAGAACATCCGTTGTTCGACCTGCTAGTCAAATGCGTTTTGTTAAAATATACTTTTTCACTTTTTGGTCTTTTGGAAAATGTTGTTTGTGCTATATATATATATATATATGCCAAAGAATTTTTCGAAATCACACATCAAATAAGTTTAGAAGAATGGATCATTTATATCAATTTATTCATAAATGGTAATTTACGTTTTCGGATACTAGTATACAAATTAGAGATCTAGAAAAAATGTAAAGATTTCGACTTTAGCAGCCTTTGCTGTTGGAACAAAATAGAATTCATTGATACAATGGAGATCCTTAATACTATTTTGTACATTCTTTAAATTCATGGCATGCCCTGCTTCGTTGAAAACTGTTTGTATGTTTATTCAATTTTCAAGTAGATCTTTCAAATCAGTTAGCGCTATTAAGTATTTTGTAAGTGGTGTTAGGACAATGCATTTGTTGTTAGACAAGCCTTTTGTTCATTTAAATCAATGTTTTGTTGAATTATTGTATAAAGGTATCACTAGAGAAAACAGGCACTTTCCCCAAAAAGCTTTAGCGATTACGGTAGATATTTTACTTT